CTCAGCGGAAATTTTAGTTGAAAATGTTGTGTCTGCTTAGTAATAATCCTCACTAATTTCAGTCTTTCCGTGGTTATTTTTTAGTGTATAATCATCACCATTGTGCCAAACTTATATTCCAGGTTGCGATGTAAGTAATAATCCCTCTTGCCTCTATCTATAGACCCACTTGAGAAACTATATAGAGAAGGTTGATTTTGCAGATTTATCGGTATTTGCTATCTACCTACTGGGCCAACGACGAAACCGTACGCAAAGCTCTTGGAATCAATGAGGTATACATGACAGATTATTTTAAGATTTATGGTAAAGAAACAATGTCAAATCGACAAGAGGATCTATGATTGCAGGAGAGTATAGGGGAATGGGTACGATGTGATCGCGATCTTTCTTACACTAAAGACATTAAAAGTAGTGTACCTTACCATATGAATAACAGCATCAATGGCTATCGTTCTCTCATCTTCAGGTCAGAGTTTTTTCAACCTTTTCTTGATCTACATTCCCCTACCAAGATTCTCAATACTTTTGGTAAAATTGTTGCGCGGTTTTTGGTGAACAGTGGTGATCACGATCTGTCACTACCTTACCTTGGAACTCAAGATTGGATAAGATCTCTCAACTATTCTATTATTGATGATTGGAGACCATGGATGATAAAATCTCAAATCGCTGGGTATATACCGATTTTTGTTTTCCTCGTTCATTCGTTTTATTTCGAAATTACTCTTGACTCTTCTTATTTGTCACAGATATACAAGAACTTATGCCAACAAAATGACGTTTGCTACTGTCAAAGCAAGTCTTTCATCTTCTTTTTTTCTCTTACACTCAACATTTTTTATTGCGGATTTTTAGCTTGGATTTTCTTAATTAAGGTGTGTGTTTTTTACTACAGGGAGGTGGACACACACCAGAGTATAAACCAGAGGAAAGCTTTATCATGTTTCAAAGGTGGATCAATGGCCAACCTCTGTAAAAGAGGAGAGTGGCCTTCACGTATAAAAGACAAGAAATTGTGATTCTTTTATATTCTATTGAATTGTGTAAATGTTGCTTTTTCAAGCTTGGTACATTTGCTTTTCACTTCTTTTCTAAAAAAAAAAAATACAGTCCGGAAAAAATTGATTGAAATTTCAAACAATCTAGACATGTTTTAACAAACAATAGCATATGCACATATAGAAATTCAAAGTAACAAAACACACACTAAGACAAAATGACTTGTAACAAACAAATTTTATTGTCTTGCCTTAGTTACCATAAAGTTTTGGTAGTCCTAATAGTCCCCAATCTCATCCACATTTGCAATTTCTTTTAGAGAGTGCAAAGGTTTTAAAGGTTGTAAGATGAAGCAAAGTTGGAGAAAACAATTACGTTTGACTCCACTCAATGAAGATATATAAGCACACTTTTCTTCTTCAAATGTTGAATTTTCATCAATTTTGTATTTCTGTGTAAGTTCATATCAGCTTATAAACGTCTTTCTTATAAGAATTGTATATTCGTTTTAATTTAAGAAATATGTGTTCATTTTATCCATTATCCAATCTTTAATTCTGTAATTTCTTTTTCAAACCATTTTTTTTTTACTAAATTCATTATGGATCCGAAACTCTTTTTTCCATATAACCAGATCGATGGAAAAAAAACATTTGTATTCATGCATGTTCGAGTCAACGACAGAGAAAATGAAACTAAAAACATATAATAGTAAACAATTTCCCTTATTTAAAATCACACGATGAGAATCTATCATATCACGACGATGCTAAAACTAACACATGTACTATAAGCATATGCTTTGGCATCTACATATTTAAATTAATCCTGTTCTTATCCATATCCTCAAAAGAATTGGTCTCATCGTAGGTTAAACTATATATAATAACAGAGCTGCTTAATTTGGATTTTTCTTTAAACGTTAAATTAAAAACTTATAATATCATAGGTTAACTGTACGTAACCAGAACCAAGCCACCCTATCTTCCCATAAGAAAAATAAACAAACAAAATTAAGGAAGTGTAGAAACAAATATATTAAAATAGATAGTCATCTTCTCAAATCTTGTTTACTACTATTAAAACAAAAAGATGACTACTCCACAATCTCGTTAACGTATACACATCCGTGTATAAATACTGATTAAATGAACTCACACAAAACTACTACTAGATAAACCCAAAAACCATGAATCCTATGTTTTACTTCTTTCTTGCCTTAACCACGGTTTTGGCCTCGACCGCAGACGCTGCTGGACCGGTCCTCGACATCGACGGAGACATCATATTCCACGGTAGTTACTACGTTCTCCCCGTCATCCGCGGCCGAGGAGGTGGCCTGACTCTCTCCGGCCGCGGTGGGAAGCCATGCCCTCTCGACATCGTGCAAGAATCATCCGAGGTCGACGAGGGTATTCCCCTAAAATTCTCAAACTGGATATCTAGAGTTGGATTCGTACCAGAAAAAGCGAACCTCAACATCGAGACGAACATCGCAGCCACGATCTGCGTCCAATCAACGTACTGGTGGGTCGATGAGTTCGACAGGGAGAGAAAGAAGTGGTTCGTGACGGCTGGTCCGAAGCCAGAAGGGTTTGGAAAAGATTCGTTGAAGAGTTTCTTCCAGATCGAAAAATCCGGAGATTTTGATGATTACAAGTTTGTGTTCTGTCCTAAGGATTGTGCAGGTAGCAGCAAAGTTTGCAGGACCAAGTGCATCGATGTCGGGATATTCGTGGATGAAAACCACGTTCGGCGTTTGGCTTTAAGCTCTAAGCCGTTCTTGGTTAGGTTCAAGAAAGCTAATGTAACAGAGGAATTGTCCAAGACTATGTCTATGTGAGAGAAAAGACTACTAAATATGGAATAAAACAACTTAAGACTCATAATAATAAAAAAAAACTCTCTATATGTTTCTCTGCTTTCTTTGTTCATCAAATCTGGAATAAAACATCTTTTGTTTGTTTCTTATAATTCGTTTCTCTGGTTTAAGATTCAAATAACTTGGATGACCAGTAGTAACCACAACCAAATGCCCTTACTGTTTTGTTCGTTTCACTGTCACGCGGCTGATCACATAAATTTAAATCGTATCGTTTAAACATTCAACGATTTAAACACTATATCGTGAATCGTTGCGATTAGTCAAGGTCGGAGAGGAAAAATGTAAATGTTCATACTTAATTGTAATGAAGATTACTCTATGATTTTGTACGTGTTAGTTATGGATTTCTGCAATTGTATTTCTTGGGTTTCTCTAATAAAAGTATATTTAATTATAAGATCACATTATCGAGAAATGAAAGTTCCAATGTACACTAGCATATACTTTGGTCTCTACTC